TATGAGATCGCCTCTCAATCTTCTCTTCTCCAGGCTGAACAGGCCCAGCTCTTGCAGTCTTAGGCCCAGCTCTTGCAGTCTTAAACAACCCAGAAGAGTACGTTACAATGAGCGCACCAATTCAGCATCTGAACCACTTCAAGGACCTGGCAAATAACCTAACTTATAACTGGGGCATAGCTATTCACCAGTGTGACCAAGAACGCAAAATACAATCAGCGGCTGCCAAACCTGACGATAACCGAGGTAAAAGGTTCTAAAACGCAAGTCTTTGGGAAGGTAAGATTATTGCTTAGTGCTGACTATCAAGTAGCGACTCTGAATTCCCAAGACAAATGTATTTTCACACAAATCTCACAAATAATAGTCTTTAAAAAGTGCATGCAAGCACCATGTCTATGAAGAGTAAAAAATAGAGATGATCTTATGCTTAAAAAAGAGAACGCGTGCACGTACACTCTTTAGGATAGTACAAAGGAAAGATATAGTGTAGTCTACAGTCAGAAGGTTACTTTATGCATTTTTAGATGGATTTACAAATATAAATATAAAAAATGTAATATCCAACTTGCTTTAATTTAGTAACTAGGTGACAGAGACAGAAACAAGTCTTACACATCTTGATCACAGCTGCTATACAAGTTATGCGGTAGGATGAGATACATTCCTTCAAATTACTTGTGTATCGATTGCATTCCATACCTATGATGTTCAAACTTGAAAGGTAACACAGTTCCAAAAATAAGAAAGTAAACCATTCCAGGTGATATCCAGTCTCATTAATGACTTAATGAAAATGAATAAGAAAAGTAGGGTCCAGTAATTATTTGTAATTTATTAAATGAAAAAACTATAATGTCTTCAGCATGTAGACTGAGTAATAAGGGGAGGAAAAAGAGAAAATCAGAAATTAAAGTTGGGAAAAGACCCTGATTCTGACACACTAGACATGTTTATTTCTTAGTTACTTATTTATTATCAAATATTATGATAAAATGTCTGTCTTTCTATGTATTCACACATCTAAAGTGTTCATGATAGTCATTAACAATGACCAATACTGTCTGTTAACAGTAGTTCTGATGTATAAAATACACCCTTTAAAAAGCATATTCAAAATTGGCTGAATTAGACAGCATAACTCGTTCGACTCCTCTGTTCAAAGACCATATAACATAATTCATGTTATATTGTGTATCATTATCCTTCACAGGACTCCCAAACCAGAAAGGGCTTGAGAACTAACATACTTCTATTATCTCTGGTACAGTCTGTTAAGTGAGGTGCAAAATGATGAATGAAATCCCACTGTTTAGATGTGGGATGTGGGTTTCTGTAACCAAGATAATTTGTCTCAACCATTTTCAACATTTGGGAAGACAACTAGTCCATTTAATCCAAAGTTCTAAGCCAGCACATCTCTTACATCTGACAAACAATACTTCTCTTTAGATCTTCCTTAATTTATATTTTCCATAACCCTAGCTAGGCATTTTATAAACACGTAACTTTTGATGGCGTTACCAAATAACTTTAGATTGTGTTCTCATTCTCTTTCCATCTGAAACATTACATCTGAGCTCTCAGGAATCTACTAGATTTAGTCTGCCCCAGATTCATGCCACTTTAATCCCACACCTTATTCTCTTGCATTGTCGCAAGCATAGCTCCTGTCAACAGTCAGAGGGAAGCACATACCTCTTAAGGGCCCATCAGAATGCAGCATTACCTGCTTTTTGCAGCAATCTCTCGCACAAGCCCAGACATCCATCTCAGATGCCTGAATTACCTTAGTTAAACCTTATTTTTGCTCAAAAATTGCAGTGTCCAAAATTAAAACACGCAAGAGACTGCCCATAGACAGATGTGTGTGCCCAAAGCCCCACTCTTCTTAATAGGCCTTCACATTCAAGAAGCCAGAAAGAAGAGACGAAAAGCATCTGAACGCCAGGCCTTGTAAGTAATGCATGCAAAAGGGGCCTTCAAAAGCACAGGATTGCCAGTTAGGCCTACTGCCTGTTTCAGAAAAGGAATATGAACTAATTCCTATGCTTAGATGAACAGCTTGATGTGTGCAGTTACTAATTTAGGGGGAGGGGGTGTTTTTCACTGGCAAAGTTATGACATGCCTTAACATAGGATCAGACGAAAAATTCACCTTATTCAAATATACTGATACAGCTAATTTGTAAGTATTCATTTACCAATCTATTCTGAAATCTTTTATATTGATTCTTCAGATTGAGAAAGTTTCTCAAATTGATCCCTTGCAAAAGATAGTTCTAGTATGAAAATTCTTCCAACCATCCCCATAATGAACAGCGGCGTAAGTAACTCTGCTGCCATACTCGTATCTTCCTTGAATTTTTTCAAGCCTTAATATATATCAGTTCTATAGGCTTCCAACTACCGATGTGTTTACAGTAAGTTTATATTATCAGATTCTATTATTTTAACAGATTTTCTCCTCAAAAATCTTGGGGTTTTTGGGGTTTTTTTTTTGGTTTTTTTGCTAAATCTGTTTTCTGCTAATTTTGCTATTCAACTTACTGGTTTATTTCCTTTCTCTGGATCCTACTTTCACTTTTTAAGGTTTTATTACTTTTAGCAACTCCTTTGTCTAACCTTGTTTGCTTATGGGGGGGGGAGGGAAGTTCTCTTGCCCTCTTTTGATGGGCGAGATATGTTTTAATCTGACTTGTTAAGTTAAGCAGTGTTTAATTAGCAAGCGTTTTAACAGTTTGATCTCCTTTTCATTGATTCTTGATTTTTATGTATTTTAAGTTAAAAGTTACTACATTAAACTTTTTCTTTTTTTTTTTGCCCACACATATAAGAATATTTGAGTGCAGTACTGTCACCAACACGACAGAATGGTTAACTGTAATGTCTTGAATTAGGTCACAGACATTTTAGAAAAAAATCAGGAGTTCTTTCCTCTCACATCACTCCTCTGCCTAACTGCACCAAGAAAAAAAAAATTTTAGTGCCTAAAGTCTTAGTACACCCATTATAACCCCACTGTGACACACCTACATTTGGTCTTAGTCTGGTTGCCCCTTAAACCTGCTTAGATTGAGGCTCTTCTATTTCCTACCTTAACGTCACTGATTTCTGATCTTTAAGGTACTAGAGCTTTTATGTCTTCATTCCCAGAGACTGCATGATCCTTAAACATCATCTCTTGAACTTCCCCAAGACTTAAGTATCCTCTGTCAAATACTTATCAGTTCCTTTTACTATTTTTGAACAGATATAATAGTAATTCCAGTAATTAAGAAAACTTAACTAAAAGATAAATACAAAAAAGTGACCATAACTTTAAATTTTTGGAGAGAATGTTATTCTCTTTTTAAGAGAATAAGATAAACAAAATAAGAAAACATGTTATTTGGGAATGTGAATGATATTTCAGCCTCAGTGCAGGTTTAGGACTAGGTTCCTGCAATAGTTGTATCATGTATATATTTTAAAAATTAAAAGAAAAAAGAAAAAAGTAAAATGACATGGAAGCATTGTGATGATTTTACTTCATTCAACTTTGTGCGGCATGTCACCCTCAAGTAATTTTCAATTCTGACGCAAGATAATCTGCAAGAGTTCCATCACCAACCGTAACAACTATTTCTTCAAGATTTTAAATTGATCTATCAGTTTACGGAAAAAGAGAGCTGATCAGAGTGCAACCAGAATTTCAGATCCCAAATATTTTATAGGTGCCTGATAAGTATCACTTAGCTCTTCTTACCTCCAAATACCTTTAAGGGTCATAGTCTATCAATGAAATGATGAGTATTTACACACCAGTTAAGTGTTAAACTGCAAAACTGTATGTTCTCTGTCCATCTTACTTTGAAATTAAATTACATCTTTCCTTAGCCTATTACTTGATTAATTTTTGCATCTATTATCAGTGAAACATAAAAACATTCAAAAATGACACACAGTATCAGTAGGAAAACAGATTTACCAAATCAAAGCCCAAACTGTCAGAAATAAATTGTAACTTGGCTATCATTTTATTCTTTTTCATCAACTCTAGATACAGCAGCTATAACCAACCCTTTCTTTCACCCTTCAAACACCAAAAAAAAAAAAAAACACTCCCCCCCACACATACACACTTGACAAATTGCAATGGTGAGATTACATATCTTAACGAATGTGAAAGACGTTCTGGTTACTAACAACCAACCAAAAAAGGTACATAAAGACAGACAAATGAGAGGTTTCTCGGTAAGCCCTGAATATATTTGTCTTTCTGTCCTTGTCTTCTTAAAATACACAGACATGATAAATTGTCTCGGACTAAGTAGTTATTTGGTTCCCATTAAATGCTATCAATGTCCAAAAACTAAAAAGCCAAAGCCACTTATTCTTCAGAAATTCAGAAACACATAAAGTCCAGTTTGTAACCAGAGTTTTCAAACTAGTCTACAAATATCTGTAGCTTCCCTGTTTTAATTTAATTGCAGTTTAGCAGTAGACTTTACATGCATGGATCCTTTAATGTCAGTGCTTGATTATGTTTAATATCAGATTTTTCAGACTGAAAAGTAATTTTACAGGTACATTTGCAGGCCCTGATAGTCATATCTCTACCTCCTTTTCATTCTTCCCACCATTTCCAAACCACCTACAACTCTTCTCCCATTTCAGTTATCAGTCGATAGACTGTAGCAAAGTAACAAAATTTCCATGAACACAACTCCACAACATAATTCAAAAAGAGAGAGGGAGGCTGTGGGAGCACTAAAGAAAGCCCACTAAGATTACCAGATTGGAAATCTGAAACATGTAAAACATTTAAATTGGCACAATAAAACTATCTGAAGAAAATCTAAATTACCAACCTATTCTAGGTTAGTTATTTTCTCTTTTCCAATTTAATCTTAACGGACATAAAAATAATACATTTTTATATAACCACAGGACTTTTACAGCAAGATGGCTGGCATAATAAAGGAAATAACAAACACAAGTTACTGAAAACAAAATACCTGTTATTGAACAGTATACTAGGTGAGGAGCAATCTTTTTAATGTCTTCATAACCTAGACCCATTTCAGCCAGTTTCCCAGGGATGTAGTTTTCCACAAAAACATCAGACATGGCTGCAAGCTTTAAAAAAGAAAAGTATGAGTTGTTAATGAGCTTCTTAAAGTTCAACAAATTCCTCATGTAACTTAAAATCTTGCTAATCAAGATTGTTCCCATCTTTGTGGCAGAAAAAAGAATTACAAACTTAGACAGATTGTGTAGGTATGCCAGACTATGCATCTCTGCTAACTACACATTAGAGGTGCTACATACCTAGGAAAGACTCTCTATAGAAATCCTAAAGCCATTAGATAAAACTGCAACATAATTGTATTATCAGTGTCATGTCAATTTCCCAAGACCAAATCATACTTTACAGAACCGTCATCAACTTTATATATGCATTTAGTTTGAGGAAAAAGTGGGTAGAAGGGAAGCATCTTTACTATTCTTTGCCTTAGAAATAATTTTGTAAAATGTGTTTTTATTTCAAAACACTTACTGTAATAGAGGCTATGTTTCCCACTTTCTGTAAACAGAAGCAAAATAGACAGCACCTCAATTTGATTAGGTTGCAAAGAACATCTTAAAGGCACCTCAGTTAGAACAGTGCTGTCAACTACTGTAGCATGACTTTCAGCATCACAACAGAATGAACAGCCTACTTCAAAATCTACTCAAGTTAAAGATTAATTTATGACCTTGATGGGCATTGAATCATATCTTCTTATAAGAAGTTATAAATAGTTAATCACATATAAGCTTGAATAAGACACATTAATTAAGAATTTCTCAGGCAAAAGAATTACGTATGAAAAGAAAGATGTAGGGCTTAGGGGAGTTGTAGAGTTTTTTGGTTCGGGTGTTTTTTCAAGGAACTTAAGAAACTATTCCCTTACAGGTACACATGTATAAGCATATGTGAATTAAGCATAACCTTAAGAAATGAAATGTTTTAGATTATTTGAAGCTGACCAGAGAGTCATATTTTCTGAAACTATCACATAGCTGGCTGAATATGTGCAGTATATGAGAACTGCTTCTATAAACTAGTGTCATCATATTAGCAATCACAAGCATTAATGTTTTAGTATGTATGCTGTTTAGATGAATATAAGGCCAAAGAAGTAGCCAAGCCAATAAATATTTAACAAGACAGACACAAACTTATTCAGACAACAAGGCACGCAACTTATGAATGGTTTAACTGGGTGCATGGAGGAGACATCAATAGCATTTACAGAAACTCTAAGTTCAGTATAAGGTAAAAGTGCATTTTAAAATATTGCGAAGTATTTTTAAAGGGGCCATGTCAAGAACCTCTAGGACTACTAGTTTTAAATAACTACAGTAATATGAGAAGCAGTGTCCAGAGTCTAAATAAGCACCAAGTGTCAACGTAGACAGCTGGCTAGTTTTCAGTTTGGGATCCCATATAAGTGAAAAGAACGTTATTTTATGGAAGCTATTAAAAAAGCAGACATTTGTCACAAGAAGGTTCTCCAGAAGATCAAGATTTCCACAGAGCTAACGCCAATGTCAACATTAGCTATTAAAAAAAAAAAAAAAAGCAGCTCACAGACTGATCCATAACTCTCCCAGTCCTCCATAAGGGACAGCAGAACCGGTCAAGTAAGGCAAGAACCACCTAATGGGGGTTCCTGCTTGTTCTTTAGTGGTATGTCTTTATGAAAAATAAGGTTTTATATTTCTCCCTAAATCCTTCCCAATCCATACATTCAATCATAAATCCTTCTCAGAGTGGTAGTACTAAAACCTTAGTTAGCTTAATCGGTCCAAGAGAGAAAATAGGTTACAATTTCTGTACTGCTTTCACTGGGGTTTGTAATCCATTCCATTTACAGTGAGGGTATGGGCTAGAACGGTTTGAGAATCAACAACTCTTTGGTACACGGTATCCAATGTAGACAACATCTCCTAAAAGGCACTGAGAAAAAAAAAATAGTCACTTACTGCACTGCAGCACAAAAAAAAAAAAAAAAAGGGGGAAGAAAAAAAGCCATACCTCTGGACATGACAACACATAGGGATGACTACAGTGCTGAGTAAGGATACAATGACTTGGCCCAGCTCTGCAGAGTTAATGTTCCCACACAGTACGATGAATTTGAATGCTGAAAGCATATCTTAAGAGTGCTGTGCCAGCTCCAGTACTTAAGTTCTCATAAATGCTGGAAATAGTCTTTGATGCGTAGAGGCTGCAGTCTGTGCATTTGCACAGTACACGTTTTGTGATGCTCACTTAAGCAAACATAAGGTACTCGCAGTTCGGCAGTTGTTGATAATCGGATTCTGAGACTCTGATCCTAAGCAACGGTTTGTTCTTAGAACTCAAAGGGGTTTGTAAGTCCACTGTCAACTGAAATTTCACACTTTGTGCCCTGCAAGCCCTCTCCATCTATCCCTCTCTTATTTTAGCCTCCACTAAGAGGGCAATACAGAACAGGTCTGAGTTGGAAGAGTATATATGCCAGAGAGTACGCTCATCTGCTCAACTTCCATGCCTCAGGAAAGAAAAAAGGCATTACACGTGCGAAAGCAGCCATATTAAACTTAATACCAGTAACAAATTATGATGCTACAGCAACTCAGTAATGGAAATTTATCCCTTTTGGAAGAATTTTTACAAGAACTGCATATAGACCGATATGCATATATATAATCCTCAGAGAGAAAGAGGTATGCTGACCCTAAGTGACTAATTTTAACTAATTCAAAACTAGTTAAGGCTAAATCCTCACAAGGAAGGTTTCTTGAACGTTCTGAAAAAGGAGCTTCTGAAAGTAACTTTGCTGAATAATATTCTAAAAAGATTAAAAGAAAAAAACATTCATTCAGTAAGACATTCAAGTATTTGGAAGGCAGCTAACAGTGAATAAAATGCATTAGGAAGGGAAATCAGGCCAGAAGTGACACAGAACAAAGACCAAAGAATAAATCTGTGGGAACTCAAATATAAAATAATCCTGTATTGTGAAAGAGCAGACCTTTGGAGAAGCATTTTAGTGCTGTGCTAAAGGAAGAAAAGCAGTTTGGATTGCCGATTAACAGATTTCTTCAGCTTACTCAATACCACTGACTGTATTGTCAAGTGCTGTGCTTTTTTCTTCTACTTCAAGACTTTATTCACTTGCCTTTTTAGTATCATTCTAAAAATTTATACGGGCTATACTAGGAGCGTATAGGTGGGAGGGAAGGACAATAATTTATTCTAACCATGTCATCTTTCTTTATAAAAACTTTATAACCTTATTACTTTTCTTTTTAGGGCTTAGTTTCAGGACACAGCTATTTGTATTTACTTATGAGTAATCAATGTCCCAAAACTTTCATTTATTTTTGGCATGAATTACCTTACAGACACTAACACTACTTTTCAACAGAGCAGACGCATCACTGAACAAGGCTCACATTTCTAAACACATCTATCCTGATGTTACCAGGAGACAATTGATAGTGAAAAGCCTGTTCTTACAGATAATATTTATTTATACATTCTTTTCAGCAAAACCACAAACCCATTATACTCTGGTTCCATATCAGATGCAATAATGCCAAGACCTCTGCACAAAATACTTCAAAAAACTATCACTTTAAACCAAGCAAAACAATGAATGACTCCACAGAGTCACTAAACATTGCAGTAATGCCTCATCACACTAGCCCATTTATAATTTGCTATACCACAGAGATGGGCACCATTGATTTAAGGAACAGAAAGCAGTAGTGGTTATGAAAGCAGGTTTTATAAAAGGATAGAAAGTATAAGAAATCTAACTTGGTAACAAGACCATTTGTTCCTCATTTGCAGATCAATTTTTTGAATCTTGCAGTTACTTTCTAATTTCTCATGAGCTAGATCTCTTGTCACAGCTTTATCTTTACCACAGAAAGAACTTCGTCCCAAGAGATCATCTTCATTTCCACAGCTAGCGTGACAAATATTTAACAGAGCTAGTTTTTCTATTGGAAATCCTGCAATATTGCATCTTAGAAAATGATTCCCATATACACTTGACTATTTCAGTGACACCAGACTAAGGGAAAAATTAATACTGCTGCTTGTAAGAACCATTTGTCTACAGCTCTAAGTACTCTTACTGCCAGCTACCTATACGCAGCATGATATTAGCTCTACATTACAGTAGCACAAGAGATCTTACCAGGAGAAGGGTGGGAAGCCCGGCACTGAAGCTGTCAGAGAGGTTGATGCTCTTGCATGATAAATGAGGGAAAGGAAAGTTGCTGCTTCAGTTTACAGATCATGTGGGATTTGATCTCAACTTGACACTTGAACCTCAAGCATGAAGCTTATAACACTGCAAATTCTCAAGTCACCACCCATTTAACTCTGCAAACCATGAAAATATTTTCAACCTTGCAGGCTGAAAGAAGTTGTAAATTTAAGAATAAAACTTTTTTTTTTTTAAAAAGCCCCTTTTTAAAAAAAAAGAAAAAATTCAAGCAGCAATCTTCCTGTACGAATGTCAAGAGGAGAGAAGAGAACTTCCTAATCACAGCAGCCATCACACAGGAGGAGCTTATGCTCAAGCCATCTTTCTTCCAGCTCATCCTGACTCATAGCCCCAGCTGCCTTCACCTCTTCATTAAACAGGTCCAGCCCACGCACGCGGGACCGGTGGACATTCTTAAGAGTAGTTTATTTCCCTGCTTTTAGAAGTCAAACAATAGGTAACAAAGCTAAAGTCTTTTATGCAAGAGAAACCATTCTTAAAGATTATGATTATTTTATCTAAAATACATCTGTGTTCTACCAAGCAAAATTATTTTTACTGTGTCTGTTTGCCAGACTTTTAGAAGAAGAACATACAGTTTCATAGCAATCAACAATAAATGGTTCTGTTCAACAAAGGGACCAGGGAGGGGACACCAGAGAAGCCTCAGCTTATAAACGTCAAAAATTTCCATATGAACAGTCTCATTTACAGAAGTGACAGAAGAAAGATTAATTTGTCTGATATTTTTGAGGGTCTTAATTTAACCTATTGCCGTTTTACATAATATTCCTAGCAAAAGATACTACCAGACAAATTCCAGTTATTGCAGGAAATATATGGCTTCACTGTGAAAAGGGAAACAATTGGAACTGACTTTGAAATAAACAGTAAAAGAAGTCAGCTCACCTTCTTGGATGTGTTAGTACTGCAGGGCTAAAAAACACAGCAGCAGCAAATAGAAAGTCCTATCCTTCTCAATAAATAAAAAAGGGATGACAAAGCCCAAGTTTTACAGACTGTGAAAGACGATATTTTTATTTTTTCAGTGGAAAAAGATATCACTCAAATTCTGAACCGAAATACTAAGGGTGGGGAAGAAATATAAATGTGAAATTTGACCTACAGGACAGCACTTCTCAAAAAGTTGCCCAGCAGCTGAGGTCAGGAAAACACTGCAGCACTCAAAAACTTGCAAATATTGGAGCCCAGCCCTCCTTTTTGTAAATTCCCACTGACTTCCTTAGAAAAAGGGAGTTCAGGCTGCACTGATCAAATTGTACAGCAAGATCAAATACAGCGATAAAAATCACAAGGAGATGGTCCGCTACTCATAACACTGTAAAATGTAAGCCCTAAGTTGTTATCTGTTTTTCTCTCAATGTTTCATTTGAAGCATTATATATAAAAGCACAATTTGATCATCACAACTCTGGCCTTTGATAAAATTTTATGTAAAATTCATACTATCTAAAATAATTATAACTCACACTGAGCATTGAGTCCAAAGGCACATAGCATCGAGGCAGCATACTGTGATTTAACAAATTAGTTACACATGCATACTTATTTTTCATTGTCAGATATCAAATTAATATTTGAAATGAAGAGTTTATTCCCTACTACTAAGGACCTAAACAGTACAAAATAGGCACAATTTGCATTCTGTTAGAACCCACCTCTCTGACTAACTTGGCTCCTTTTGGATCCTTCATATTGACAGCTATGCTCTAGGGACAAAACAAACAAACAAAAATTCCAGTCATTTCTGTGAAAGCCCTTCTAGAACTTGTCATCAACTTCTAAATGTAACCAATACTGAAGTTTCACACTACAGCTGGAAAAAATAAAAATAAAAACACAAACGCTTGCCCTCCCTGCAAAAAGAATAACTTTCTGTTGGTAAAATAAGCACCAAAACAAGTCTGAGGGAAGCAATCTGAGACATGTGCAGCTGGGAGCTGCACTGTATGTTTGCACAGCACCTTCTGCAACTACAGATGGGGAGACCAGAACCTCCTTTTTGACGGCAGCAAGCCATTAAACAGCTCCTCAGGCATGTTGTGAAACTTCATCCTAACCCTGAGATTTCATGAGCTACACCTTCAGCCAGCTTAATCGTAGTATGATTCCTGCTCTCCCCTGACTCCAGCTGCCAGGTGAGGCAGGTCAGCTGAGCTGACCCATCTGAAATACTGATCCATCTGGAAAAAATAATCCTCTCTTTCAACCAGGAACACGGGCAACTGAGGACAGGCAGGACCACGCTTGATTTTGCATTGGCCTTAGCTAATCACAGACCATACTAGAGATTTGCAGCCTTTTTCGTTCAAAATACTCATTTTGTTTTTTCTTCCGAAATGTAATCACTTCGATAACTTAACGCCATTGTTACTACTGCAAAAAAAACTAAACAGAAAATGAAATTATTGGAAGTTTGCCTTGTTACATATTTTTGATTTCTTGCTATTCATTTCCACTTAGTTGCAAGTCATCTAAATTTGTCAATGATTACACACTGTACAAAGTTCAGCATCTTGTACTGGAAAAGTTAAAAAAAACAGTAATTTGAATGGAAAATACTATGTTTTCAGTTGCAATTATAGAAAACATTGGCCAATGTTCAATATGGCACTTCCATTTACCTTTTTATTTCGATTGACACTGAGAAAATAAACACTTTCTGTTCCAGCAAAAGGTGGGCCCCAGCCTCTAGTATCATCACCTGCTCCTGAAAGAAATAACACCATGTTTGCCATTGTCCAGTATTAAACAGGCAAGAAACAAAAACATATACAAAGTTTTTTTTCCCCTAGGTCATATTTAAATTTTCTAAGCTTCAACAAGGGCAGGTAAAAAATTACTTATATATATGTATTAGAGGGTTTTTATGTCAAAAAATGCCTAAAAACTGATTAAGCAAAGCAGATGTGGCTTTTGCCAGTGCTGTAATTATTTTTAATTTAAAAATATAAATATACAGCCACGTACCACCAATCTATTTATTGGTTTCATTTATTTTTAACTTAAAACAGTGCTACACTGACATTCTTTCAGGCAATCTGGAAAAATTTAACAGAAGCTCTTGTGCTGCACAGAGCCACAGAGTGCCCACAGTGGCAGTCAGTCAGCTGTTCCTGAAACACTGTGGGTAGGAAGTCAAGATAATTGCTGATCAGCAACAACTTGTGTGCTCCAGAACAAAGGCAAAAGGTAGCGCTTGCTACCCTTTGCACAGTCCCCCACCTCCCACCTCCTTCCGGAATGCTCTCGCCTTACAAAAATGTAAGGCAGCATTAAAGCTGCTGCAGACACTTGCTCATGTCAGTGTATCATTTAAGTTTGGTTCCCAATTTTAAACCTTTCTTAAATATCACAAACCTTGGCAATCTATTTTAATTAGAATTAAAACTAAGTTTTAATTCAGATATAATCATGTTAACTCCAAGTGAAAACTTTCCTTAGCGAGGCAACACTGACGTGTGTTAGGTACTAGCACTCAGAAGCAGACAACTGAGCTAAAGAACCTTTAGTCTCACACAACATAGCCACTGTTATATATTTAAGCTGTACACTATGGTTACACCTGAAGTCCACAGCCATTTAAGCTCAACTGTTGTAGAAGCTATACAAATATACAAATATGCTGACACTCATCAGCATTTGTACTTTTTATGATCTCACAAACATAGTTCACGAAGAAGCTTGAGGGGAAGAAAAAAAAAAAAAAAGTATCTCTCCTCCACATGTTCTCACTTCAAGCCATTCAAACAATACGCTCAGGTAATACTTTCCACATAGGACACTAGTGTGACTACCACCCTTCATAGATTAAGCGTGTGAGTAAGCCTGTCTTTACAGATAACACTCCTGTGAAAACAGGCATCATCTCAAAAACAAGCTGATTATCCACACGCTATAAGAGTCTGAAATTAAGAATTCTGAGGCTGTTACTCTCCTTCAACCACAAAACAAAACTCTGGAAAGCTAGAACGCAAATCTCTGACAACATCAGTCCCTACGTAACCACAGACATTGCCTCTCTCGTATAACCCAGACACTTGCATTAATACCTTTTTTCAGTCTCATCTGATGGTATAAAACTGAGTTAGTTTCTGCCCTGTCACAGTATGCAAACGTTTGGAACAGTGGTGAATGAGCAATGGATGACCTGTGGGCTGACGTGACAAAACATTTCTTAAACGTTCAATGAATATATCTTTTCTATTTAAAATACAGGAAATGTATTTTTTCTTTACTGGCTCTTTTCAAATCTACTAATTACAGAAAAGAGAAATTAAAAAGAAAATGCAAGCTTATGTAAAGGGGAAAAAATACACGACAACGTGCAGCTGCTATGACATAGTTACATGCTTCATACACACAACAATGCACAAAACTGAAGGCCAAATACATGGAGTATTTATAAAAGAAATGAATGCCCTACAATGTGCTATTCTTCTTGCATAATTTTAAGAACTAACCAAAGTCTGAAAAACTTCAGAAATGTAGTTATTCAATAAAATGAAGCTGCTTTTTTTTTTTTTTTTTTTTTTTTTTTTTTTACTATTACCTAATACCCAGAGAGCCTAACAACGCTTTGCATTTGAAGTACATATGTACAGTGGAAAGAGAAAACAGTTGTATTATGCTAAAATACAAAAAAATCCTTCTGCTTCTAAAAGTCAGAGATAAATTCTATCCATGAGGCTAATTATCCAGAGTCCAACAATAGCAGGCTCAGAAGGAACTCCACAAATCTGTATTTCTGGAACTGAAAACAGGCACCTGAAGCTACTTAACCTCACACACTTCCAGCACTAAAATGAAAAATTTCATGTAAATTTAGAAATCTCCCTGTTTGAATGAATTCCTATTTCCACCTCTATAAGAATCTCAAATCCAGAACTTTAAAGATACATCTACTTCATACAGAAAATAATTTCCATCCACTTTGCATAAGTCCAGAGAAAGATTTCTCTGACAGGGTAATTTTTAATTAATAATATGAAAACATACTGGTATATTAAAATTATCCGCAGGAAAAAGACTATATAGTATGCCAAGACACCTTATACTCTACCAACCAAAATGCTTGCCTTCACCCAACCAGGTCTGCATAGTATTACCTAAAAGCTGTGCTAATAAGTAACTTAAATATATTTGTATTTTCACGCTCATATAATCAATCTTTCTTACAATAAGAAAAATGAAAATAAAAAGTAGAGTTACTGTTTCCAAAATTAAAATGTCATTTTATAAACGTTCTAACTCTAGGCTCAGGAAGAAGTGAGCTGCAGAATCTGAATTCTCCAATGGGAAAACACCTGTTTTCTCTGCTGTAAGCAGAAGATATGCCCTTGGGTACAGATTACATGAGTGTTTGAGTCTGTCAGAGTGCAAAATACAGAGCGATCAAAATACATTTTTTAATCTTATTAAACACAGCTTTAAAGCATAAGTCAGCTTCAGCCTCCACACTTGCAACTGAAATTCCACAGCACAGCACACTACTCAAAACAAAATATATTAAAAAGAAATGAATACAAGTAGCTTAAGAAATTTTTTAAAGGATTCAATTTCATCACAAAGACACCTACTACTACTACTGAAATTGATCAAAGATGTGAATCAAATATTTGTAAAATAAAATATCTTTAAACAATTAATTTTTCAATCAGATCAGCCTTCTGATTCAGCTAACTCACAGCCATACAAGTGCTAGAACAGACCCGCAAAGGGACAAGAGTATGTAGCCAAGGAGAGAAAGAGGACTGGGGCATCAGAATTGCCCCTTTCAAGAAAAGCAGTAACTTAGAGCTCTTGCTAACCATGAAATCACACTCTTCAGTTTACTTTATTACTTTTATTAAAAAACTGTTTTCTTTTAAAATTTACTTGTAGCACCTCTCCCTATAACCAAGGCCACTGCCTTCCGTGCAGAATTTCAGGCACTTCTGTCTACCATACACTTTAAATATTTAATTTGTACGCTATTTAGCAGAGCAGGTTATAGAATGCTTTATGACTACTTCCATCATGGTTTCGTACCAACTATACCTACCTGTCACAAAAATATATGAGGTGGTAATAGTACATTACATCTACTACTACCAAACTATGAAAAATAAGGACTGCTCCCAGGTATCTGGTCCATTTTGTTGCCTTATTTTTGTAAAATGTAATGCCTTGCAAGTAAGAATAGCTTTAAATTTTTCATTCCTCACCAAAAAAAAAAAAAAAAAGAAACACACTCTTAAGTCCTTTTTCTCTTTTTAAAATGTGAATGCTGTAAGTTTCAGGAAAGCCTGATGAAGGCCTCGCTCTGAAAAGCTGCTGAATCATCCCTCCTTATAATTATATATTATAACTGAGAAAGGAACTATCACCACATGGTTCTAATCATGTCAATATACTACTATATGAAATTAAGCTTTGCTATTCAGTACTTTTAATACAAAGTCTAACTGCATCAATATATATCTCTAAGCTATTATAAAAAACAATTTCTTGCACATATGTAATTTTGCAAGACTAGTCTTGTGGTTATTCGTGCTCCTACCAAGAATGAGCAAGGCAAAATCTAAAATTTTCATCTTCACAGATAATAGGTTCGTAACACATAGGAAACTGTATTTGTAATGTTAGTTGCACGTGGAAATCCACTATTTCTGGAAGAAAAGAGCCCTGAGTGACCAGTTGGAAGCCTGGTGTTTTGATAAGCAACAGATATCCAATTAACATGGCAAAGGCTTAAAATGCATTTTTAGGCAGGTTGAAAAAGCAGATAGGTATTTTCTTTCTGAGGCTCAAAAAGAATGGCAGTCCTCATACAGCACCTACAGCGTCTGCTGGAGAAGCAAAAGATAGGGCCACAAAATCCAGTAAAGGTCTTTGAATTAATAATACTAAGCAATAACCTGAGGGTCACTGCCTTGAAGGATCTGAAAAAGGCACCCTGTAAAGTCTAAAGTGTCACTAAGTATCAGCAGTGACATCATTTCTGGTAACACTTTAATAGCAACAAAGTAATTGTGGGCTTGAAATAATCCCAGTCAGCATGATGTACGGGTATATGAACATTTTTATACTTTTTCTTTACATGAACTGCTATATTATTCACAATGAGCACAGCTAACAGAGGCAGTGAACAGATGCAGCAGTTTGCGCAGCAGTTTGTGCAGAAGGACACCAGAAGGCAAAGAAGGCACCTTCATTTCTTGTAGTAGTGTGTGCTTCCCCAGGTACGGTCATGACATGGCGCAGAGCACATTCCCCAGTGGCTGCTGGAGGTGCTGCATCACCTGTGTCTGAAGCTTCAACCCAGACAGACCCTCAGACAGCAGACGTAGCTCTTCAGGTGTCAGGCTGCAGGGAGTGCCCGGGGCCTCTCCGTGAGGCCTGGGCTGACAGTCAGCTCTCCTGCGCGAGGTGTGCTGTGGTTGATCAGTTGTATTGCCAGGTAAAGGATTTATGGGAGGAAGTCAGTAGGCTGTGTAGCATCCGAGAAGATGAGCAAGAGATTGACAGGGTAGTCTCTGAGACCGTGCAGCTCCAGGAGTCCCCACCCCCTGCTGCAGCGGAGTTGTCAGAGGGCTCTGCACTGTATGAAACAGTACATCGTAACACTGTTGAAGAAGGCTGGGAACTGGTCACTTCTCATAGGAGAAAGGCTTTGCTCCTCCTCAAGACTTGCGTTTGAGGAACAAGTTTAGCGCCCTCCAAGCTGAGAAAGAGTTGGGCATGGCTCCAAGGGAAGCAACTGGCCTGGCAGACCCTGTGCCATGCAGGAACATCTGGAAAAAGCAGCAAGTGATTGTTGTGGGTGACTCCCTGCTGCAGGGGACAGAGGCACCTATCTGCTGACCTGAGCTCTTGTCCAGAGAGCTTTGCTGCCTGCCAGGGGCTCAAATAAGAGATGACATGGAAAGACTGCCAAGGCTCATCCATGCCTTGCTATTACCCTCTGCCACTCTTCCATGTGGGCACTAATGACACAAAGGGCAAATTGGAAACCATCCAACAGGACTTCAGAGCTCTGGGAATGGTGCTCAAGGATCTGGGAGCCCAGGTCGTTTTCTCCTCCATCTTGCCTGTGAGGGGGAAGGACAGGAGGAGGAGTAGACAAGTTTTCCAAGTTAACAACTGGCTGCGCCGCTGGTGTTGGCAACAGGGCTTTGGTTTCTATGACCATGGGACCC